TCTAAGCCATTTTAAAATACATTTAACACAGCAGGTACAATCATAGTCTTTGTCAGACCATCAACAACCAAATAATCTACTACAAATATGAAGTCACCTATAAAGCCTCCTGTTAGTCCACTGATCCATAACATTACTACAAAAATGGTTTTGTTACACTAGCTGCGTTTACATGGACCCTTATAATCGGATTGACGGCTCAATCGGACTAAAAAACCTTCATGTAAACACCTTAATCGATCCGATTGAGCTCGATCCGATTGAGCTCGATCCGATTGAAATTTCGATCGGATTGAAAGGGGTGGTTGGTTTACTCCTCTTTTAATCCGATCGAGAGAACATATAAACACTTGATCGGATTGAAAACCGAAACTAAAAGGACTGCGCGTGTGCAATGACGTTGAAATAGCGTAATGACGTATGACGCACAGAACGAGCTGTTCTTCCTGTTGAATAAAGTGAATATAAATGAGTGTTCCGTTATTAAAAAATTCTCATTTCACGCAGCGTCTGTGAAGTGAAGCAGGACAACGTCCCACCAGTGCTTGTTTCAGATTATCATCCATGGACGACTGGTTTTGGGCGCAGGGTTTTACTGCGTGATCAATATAAGCAGCACGGCAAAACGGTTCATGCTCATCGTCTCCAAATCATGACCAGAGACAGATAAATATTAAGTCTGCTGTTTAAAAAAAATAAAGAACCAATAGAGGAGAGTGCGCGAACAGCGGCATATTCGTGCAGTAGTGTGCGCATGTCAAACAATCAATTCCGATTTGAATCTTGTGACATATAAATGCACACATCAACCCAATTACTTTATTTATCGTTCATGTAAACACCACGTTCGGATTGATCAATCGGATTGATTTCATTCCGATTGAACCATGTAAACGCAGCTACTGTAAAGGGTCCAGACAATCCAATTCGGTTAAATATTTAGTTCATAACATATATCTTATATATCTTTAAACATCCACGGAATATAGTAGTATCATTTCAAGTTAGCCGACAGAGCCATCCCATCTTCGACGCATTCTGTTGGTGTAGATTTTCACATGTAAACATTACAGATTTTATGATGTCAAAATGGCCACTGATCCCTGAATTGTTGATTGACAGCTCATTTGAGCCAATCGGTTCATGCAAGAGATGTCACCAGACAGCAATACCCAAGCAGTGCCCAGTATGGGGGATGGTACCTCCCTCTCTTTGATGGACAGTAGATCGATCCACAGTTTGCAAATGACTGGCTTATCTGATAGCCAATGAACTTCTGAAAAGATTGATATGCAGTTTTAGTGGGACGAATCAACATATCGACCACAGAAGTCCGAGCGCAAAGTATCATGGTGACTCATGCGTCGTGCGTAAAGTGAATATATGGCATATAGTGACTCTTGGAGAGATGTTTTTGGGTGGGGAGACATCACTCTCGACAAGTAAGTGTTCTGTTGCAGCCGTGGAGCACGGTAAGTGGCGATCAAAAGTGTGGCTTTATTTCACCTTAAAAAGCCTGGGTCGGTACAGTGATTTTTATTCGACTTGAATAAATATATACGGTTTGCGTGTGTACGTAATTGGTCCAGTGGCAGAATTTTTGCCACGCACGTCACAGGTTTTGGGTTCTAATCCGCACTCGTATAGTTTTTTTTTTTTCTCATCAAAACAGAATGTGTTCATCAGTGGTTGTAGATCAAGCAGGGGGAACGTTTGTGTGCAATTTGTTTTGTGATTTCACTAGAACGAATTAGAGTCTCCGCAACGGATTGAAGCGCGCGTCCGAGAGAAGACTGCGCGAGCCATAAGAGAACACTGTATCCGCACCACTGATTGCAGCGGTAACGAGCACTTTGATCACTTGATTTAAAAAACACATTTTAGTGCTAGATAGCATTTTATTTAACAAAAGAACAAAATTAATGCTCTGATAGTTAACTGGAGAGGATTTATTTATTTGTATTGGTACATCCGTGCCACAAGATGTTTTTGGTGAGGACAATATCGACGAAAAAAAAGGTGGGGAAATGTCCCACCCGCAAATTACGCCTATGCCTGCATGGTGTACAAATTAACAAGGAGTGTAGCGTGTTCGACGTGCTGCGCAGGTCCACTGTCTCGTCCTCCTCGGGCAACCCTGCATGCACTAACCAATGTTAGTAACCTTACCTCGTCACAATCAGGTAAGTGATCGTAGTGTAACAAAGCGCTTGACCAAATTGCTAATTGTGGTGAACAACAACGTTACTGAAATTATTTTTTTCCCTCGTAGATGATGTAGCGTTATGCAAATTCCCCAAGCTAGTAGCAGTCCTAATATTACTGTTTATACATGTCCAGAGAGTCCATCACCCTGGCAAGTTCTGCAAATCTGTTCTGTCTGGTACAGAGGCATTCCTAATTTTCTCCCACATGGGCTGCAGCTCCCAAAGCTAAAACTCATTATTGAATCAAAACAAAATGTTCCATGACTCCACCCCTCAAAGAATCTGAATCGAGAATCGAAAAGAACCAAAATCTAAAGGAAGAATCGGAATCAGAATCGGTCAAATCAAAACGATGCCCAACCCTATATACTACTGAGGTATGCGTTTGTGTTCCTGCTAACTTCTGTTGTGTGTTTGCTGCGCTCATGCATGAGTGTATGTGTGTTTGGTGTGCTCATGCATGAGTGTATGTGTGTTTGGTGTTATGTGCACTCATGCACAGGTGTAAATGTATGTTTGTGTCCGTGTGTGTCTTTATGCACGGGTTTATATGCTTGTGTGTGTGTCCTTGTGTGTGTGTTCATGCACGGGTTTATGTGTTTGTGTGTGTGCGCTCACGCACTGGTGTATATGTCTGGTTGTTCGTGTGCATACGTTTCTGTTTACATGCGTGTGAGCATGTATAAAATAGTGGAATACATAAAAGATGTAAATGTTTTGTAAATTATTTCTTTCTTTGTTTTTTATATCACAGACAATCATCTGACATGGATTGCACAGCTGGCTATGATTAAACCGCTTGTTAAAAAAACACAACTTGATCCTACAGAATTAGTCAATTACAGGCCGATCTCGAATCTACCTTTTCTGTCAAAGATACTAGAAAAGGCAGTATCTTAACAACTATGTTCCTTTTTAGAAAGAAATATCTGCGAGGATTTTCAATCAGGATTTAGACTGTACCATAGTACTGAGACAGCTCTCATTAGAGTCACAAATGATTTCCTCTTATCATCCTATCGTGGTTGTATCTCTCTATTAGTGTTACTCGATCTTAGTGCTGCATTTGATACCATCGACCACAACATTCTTTTAAATAAACTTGAGAATTATGTTGCCATTAGTGGAAATGCATTAGCATGGTTTAAATCATACTTATCTGGCCGTTATCAGTTTGTAGGAGTAAATGAAGAGATGTCTTATCGATCACAAGTTCACTATGGTGTACCACAAGGCTCAGTACTAGGACCGTTGCTGTTCACTCTGTACATGCTACCATTGCACCATACCACATGCAATATCATTAGGAAGCATGGCAAACTTACCAATTCACAAAATTAACGGAATGCATAGCTGATATAAAAAAACTGGATGACTAGCAACTTCCTACTACTTAATTATGAAAAAAAGAGAGATTCTAATTATTGGACAAAAAACGTCCTCATGTAATAATCTAGAATACTGTCTAACACTTGATGGCTGCTCTGTCAAGTCTTCGTCGTCGGTTAGGAACCTGGGTGTGCTCTGATACCAACCTTTCATTTGAAAGTCACGTGTTAGCATCTGTAAAACCACATTTTTTTTATCTTAAAAATATATCTAAATTGCATCATATGCTCTCAATGAAAAATGTAGAACAATTAGTTCATGCGTTCATGACATCAAGGCTAGAGATTATTGTAATGCTATTATGGGTGGTTAGCCCAGTTCTGTCAACACTGCATTGGCTCCCTATTAAACATCGTATAAATTGTAAAATATTGCTGATCACTTACAAAGCACTGAATGGTTTTGCTCCCCAGTACTTGAGCGAGCTCTTAACTCATTATAGTCCTTCACGTCTATTGCGATCTCAAAATTCCGGCCAGTTGGTAATGCCTAGAATATCAAAATCGACTGCTGGCGGTAGATCCTTTTCCTATTTAGCACCAAAACTTTGGAACAATCTTCGAAACATTGTCCGGGAAGCAGACACACTCTGTCAGTTCAAATCTAGACTAAAAACACATCTCTTTGGCCTAGCATACACATAACACATTATAGACTTCTATAATTCAATTTAGGCTGCATAGTTTAGATCAGCCGGAACCGGGAACACTCCCCACAAATCCTGATGTACTTGTTACATCATAAGAAGGATGCCGTCCTTCTTGTTTTTTTCGAGGATTACCGCAGTCCGCCGTATCCAGGCCATATCCATATCTGATGCAGGACCTTGGCCTAGACACAGAGCTGGCCCGAGCCTTTTGGGGGCCCTAAACAGAATTTGATTTGGGGGCCCCCTCCCACTACGCGGAGTCACCTGTGCTTGACGATTATTGACACAAATATCACGCAATAATGATACATTATAAATTAATACAGTGAGGTTATGTATTAATACAAAATAAATACTTAATAAAAAATAGATAGCCTACTTAAATAAAAAGTTTTAACTTTTACTTTACTCTTTTACTAACTCGTTGAAACTTCTTAAAACAAACTGTCTCAAAACATATCAAATCATTTATTTGCTAAAATAATGACAAAACTGAGAAATCAGAAATGTAATAAGAGCAAGGGTTCAACAATGACAATTATTGTTGAAAACTGTAAAAATATTATTATTTCTCAACTGTCTCAATACAGTGTAACTTTTTTTTTTATTATTATTATTGAAACAGACTTGGTTGGATTGTACATGACAGAATCCAACAAAGTCTGTTACTATAATACCGGTAATGATGTACTGGCCATCCATGACGCATCCCTGAAGTGCCAGCCTCATCAGCCCTGTGAGGGCCTCATCGGCACTGATCCTCAACAAACTCGTCTCCATTGCGGCGTGATGACTCCGACTTCCAACCAGATGGAACTGGATTAATATTCTGAATGTTCTGATTCAATCTGACTTCTGACCTGTAATGCTGCCTGGATCATAATCATACACTGTTCGCTCGTTGGCCAGAGGAGAACTGGCCCCCGACTGAGCCTGGGTTCTCCCAAGGTTTTTTTTCTCAGTTCTGTAACCTGATGGAGTTTTGGTTCCTTGCCACTGTTGCCTTGGCTTTTGGCTTGCTTAGTTGGGGACATTTAATATTCAACTATATTATTGATCTGCCTTACTTGAGGTGGACGATGACGCAATTTCTAGAAACAAACTTTGTTGTATACTTTTCATGTTATCACTGTGAAGCTGCTTTGATACAATCTGTATTGTTAAAAATTATATATACACTATATATATATATATATATATATATATATATATATATACAGGTCCTTCTAAAAAAATTTAGCATATTGTGATAAAGTTCATTATTTTCCATAATGTAATGATAAAAATTTAACTTTCATATATTTTAGATTCATTGCACACCAACTGAAATATTTCAGGTCTTTTATTGTTTTAATACTGATGATTTTAACATACAGCTCATGAAAACCCAAAATTCCTGTCTCAAAAAATTAGCATATCATGAAAAGGGTCTCTAAACGAGCTATTAACCTAATCATCTGAATCAAATAATTAACTCTAAACACCTGCAAAAGATTCCTGAGGCTTTTAAAAACTCCCAGCCTGTTTCATTACTCAAAACCGCAATCATGGGTAAGACTGCCAACCTGACTGCTGTCCAGAAGGCCATCATTGACACCCTCAAGCAAGAGGGTAAGACAGAAAGAAATTTCTGAACAAATAGGCTGTTCCCAGAGTGCTGTATCAAGGCACCTCAGTGGGAAGTCTGTGGGAAGGAAAAAGTGTGGCAAAAAATGCTGCACAACGAGAAGAGGTGACCGGACCCTGAGGAAGATTGTGGAGAAGGACCGATTCCAGACCTTGGGGGACCTGCGGAAGCAGTGGACTGAGTCTGGAGTAGAAACATCCAGAGCCACCGTGCACAGGTGTGTGCAGGAAATGGGCTACAGGTGCCGCATTCCCCAGGTCAAGCCACTTTTGAACCAGAAACAGTGCCAGAAGCGCCTGACCTGGGCTACAGAGAAGCAGCACTGGACTGTTGCTCAGTTTTGCATGTCATTCGGAAATCAAGGTGCCAGAGTCTGGAGGAAGACTGGGGAGAAGGAAATGCCAAAATGCCTGAAGTCCAGTGTCAAGTACCCACAGTCAGTGATGGTCTGGGGTGCCATGTCAGCTGCTGGTGTTGGTGCACTGTGTTTTATCAAGGGCAGGGTCAATGCAGCTAGCTATCAGGAGATTTTGGAGCACTTCATGCTTCCATCTGCTGAAAAGCTTTATGGAGATGAAGATTTCATTTTTCAGCACGACCTGGCACCTGCTCACAGTGCCAAAACCACTGGTAAATGGTTTACTGACCATGGTATTACTGTGCTCAATTGGCCTGCCAGCTCTCCTGACCTGAACCCCATAGAGAATCTGTGGGATATTGTGAAGAGAAAGTTGAGAGACGCAAGACCCAACACTCTGGATGAGCTTAAGGCCGCTATCGAAGCATCCTGGGCCTCAATAACACCTCAGCAGTGCCACAGGCTGATTGCCTCCATGCCGCGCCGCATTAAAGCAGTCATTTCTGCAAAAGGATTCCCGACCATGTATTGACTATTGAGTGCATAACTGAACATAATTATTTGAAGGTTGACTTTTTTTGTATTAAAAACACTTCTTTTAATGGTCGGATGAAATATGCTAATTTTTTGAGATAGGAATTTTGGGTTTTCATGAGTCAAAATCATCAATATTAAAACAATAAAAGACCTAAAATATTTCAGTTGGTGTGCAATGAATCTAAAATATATGAAAGTTTAATTTTTATCATAACATTATGGAAAATAATGAACTTTATCACAATATGCTATTTTTTGAAGAAGGACCTGTATATATACACTCACCGGCCACTTTATTAGGTACACCTGTCCAACTGCTCGTTAACACTTAATTTCTAAGCAGCCAATCACATGGCGGCAACTCAGTGCATTTAGGCATGTAGACATGGTCAAGACAATCTCCTGCAGTTCAAACCGAGCATCAGTATGGGGAAGAAAGTTGATTTGAGTGACTTTGAACGTGGCATGATTGTTGGTGCCAGAAGGGCTGGTCTGAGTATTTCAGAAACTGCTAATCTACTGGGATTTTCACGCACAACCATCTCTAGGGTTTACAGAGAATGGTCCGAAAAAGAAAAAAACATCCAGTGAGCGGCAGTTCTGTGGGCGGAAATGCCTTGTTGATGCCAGAGGTCAGAGGAGAATGGCCAGACTGGTTCGAGCTGATAGAAGGGCAACAGTGACTGAAATAACCACTCGTTACAACCGAGGTATGCAGCAAAGCATTTGTGAAGCCACAACACGCACAACCTTGAGGCGGATGGGCTACAACAGCAGAAGACTCCACCGGGTACCACTCATCTCCACTACAAATAGGAAAAAGAGGCTACAATTTGCAAGAGCTCACCAAAATAGTTGAAGACTGGAAAAATGTTGCCTGGTCTGATGAGTCTCGATTTCTGTTGAGACATTCAGATGTTAGAGTCAGAATTTGGCGTAAACAGAATGAGAACATGGAACCATCATGCCTTGTTACCACTGTGCAGGCTGGTGGTGGTGGTGTAATGGTGTGGGGGATGTTTTCCTGGCACACTTTAGGCCCCTTAGTGCCAATTGGGCATCGTTTAAATGCCACGGCCTACCTGAGCATTGTTTCTGACCATGTCCATCCCTTTATGGCCACCATGTACCCATCCTCTGATGGCTACTTCCACCATGTCACAAAGCTCTAATCATTTCAAATTGGTTTCTTGAACATGACAATGAGTTCACTGTACTAAAATGGCCTCCACAGTCACCAGATCTCAACCCAATAGAGCATCTTTGGGATGTGGTGGAACGGGAGATTCGCATCATGGATGTGCAGCCGACAAATCTGCGGCAACTGTGTGATGCCATCATGTCAATATGGACCAAACTCCCTGAGGAATGCTTCCAGCACCTTGTTGAATCTATGCCACGAAGAATTGAGGCAGTTCTGAAGGCAAAAGGGGGTCCAACCCGTTACTAGCATGGGGTACCTAATAAAGTGGCCGGTGAGTGTATATGTGTGTGTGTGTGTATATATAATAGACTAATATTTAAAAATATTTTAATGCCATAGCACTTGTTTTGTATCGTCATTTGCACAAAGTTTAGTTTCAAGAATTAAAAAAAAAAAAAACACTACAATGTGTTTATGATTCGGTTACTATGTCAGCAATTATTGACAGTGACCTTTTTTAACCCTCTGGGGACGGCAGACGCACCGGTGCATTTTTGCAGATTTTTTTTTTACATAGCAGAAAAATAGACTTAAACTACTTTTTTATGTGCCCACCTACAATCGAAATAAAATAAAATAATATTGTGCTTTTGTAAAATAAAGAAAATAAACAGGGTGTGAGTTCTGCTTCTCCGTGTCCGTGAACGTACTCGGTTACTAACGTAACCTCTGTTCTCTCTAGAGAGGGAACGAGTACTGCGTAATATCTTACGCTATGGGGAAAACCTCTTTTCCACGAGATATTGAAGCCAAAAATTATCCTTAATTTTTAATCAATGTAAAACGCTTTGCGGCAGCATGCAGACATAGGCGAGGCAGCTCGCGCGCCTATTGGCTGCCCTGCGGCAAAAGCAGCAGCCTATCGAGAGCGGCTCTGCGTGACGTCATGACCAATGGGGGCACTTCGCGCCCACTTCGTCACGTCCCGCCAGAAAGGGCATGGTCTCGCCCTATAAAAGCAGGTCGATAGGCTGATACAAACTGGTTTTCATCGCCGAAGCGAACCAGACCGTATTTTAAGCACGGCAAGATACGCAGTACTCGTTCCCTCTCTAGAAAGAACAGAGGTTACGTTAGTAACCGAGTACGTTCTCTTACGAGAGTATCTCTCGTACTGCGTGATATCTTACTCTATGGGGAACACAGTGTTACACGCCGTGCATACAGGGATCCAGCACCAAAGTCCCAAGGGCAGAAGCCCGGGGCGCATGTAGTGCATAATCACCATAGACTCACAGAGAGTGAAGTCTGACAAATGGATTGGCTCGAATGGGGCACCTTTCATGGCTTCCAAAACCGTGGAAAGGTCCCACATCGGGACTGAAGGGGGCCTGGGAGGGTTCAATCTCCGAGCTCCCCTGAGGAAAGGCACGACTAAGTCGTTCTTCCCCAGTGACTGGCCAGACACCGGTTTTGCAAACGTTGCTATGGCCGCCACGTATACTTTGAGCGTGGATGGGTTTCTGCCCTTATCCAGCAGCTCTTGAAGGAAGGAAAGCACTTCCGTAACCCGGCAGTCTACGGGTGAAAATCCCTGAGCTTGACACCAAGCAGAGAACACAGACCATTTCGAGGAGTAGAGCTGTCTAGTAGACGGAGCTCTAGCCTGCGTGATCGTGTTTAACATTCCCTCCGGGAGGTTAGTGGGTACCCGTTGATGGTCCATGCTTACAGGGACCACAGATCCGGGCGAGGATGCCAAATCGAGCCCCCTGCCTGAGAGAGGAGGTCTCTCCTCAGTGGTACAGGCCACGGGGCAGTGCTGGTCAGCTGCATCAGGACTGGGAACCAAGTCTGGTTTGTCCAGAGCGGAGACACGAGCAGCACTGGGCATCCATCTTCCCTGATTCGTTCCAACACTCTAGACAGGAGCGAGACAAGGGAAAAGCATATAGGGGACAGCGGGGCCAGACTTGGGCCAGCGCGTCTTTGCTTTTCAAGAAAAAGTTTGGACAATGAGCGTTTTCGTGGGACGCGAACAGGTCCACCTGCGCTCTGCCGAACGTTTCCCACAGCAGTTGGACCGTCTGCGGGTGCAGCGATCATTCCCCTGCTGGGACATTGTTTCTGGACAGTCTGTCTGGTCCCACATTCAGGTGACCAGGCACATCTTGCTCAGGGAGAGCAGGTTGTGCTGAGCCCAGACCGGAGGCGTTCCGTCAGCCTGTAAAGGTTTCAGGATCTGATGCCGCCCTGGTGATTTATGTATGCCACCACTGACA